GTGCTTGTTATTGAATAGTTTTTGGTTTTTTTAATTGGGCTAAATTTCAGTGGACCTTAATGAATTTGCAGCGAGAATCACGAACTATTTGATCGTAACAACTGATAAAGATTTTTATGGCCTCTGTCCAGGGGCCATAAAAAATCTTTATCATTTTGCCTTATTCATTTTGACTTTTGCCCCGGTCAGATGAGAACAATTGTAAGTGTGGCTGAAAATTCCTTTTCACTTTGTCTTATTGTTTTAATAGGCGTGTATATACGAGAATATAAGATGACGTGTTTTTAATAATAATGATAATAATAATAATAATAACTGCCATAGAAGATCTGCTGAGTATGGGATTTATTATTTGTGACTAATAATATAGGTCCTAGGATGATCAGAATAGTAATAGTATTAATGGCTACGGTGGAGTAATGGATAGTAGCTTGGATTGTGGAATCGGACAGCCGAGTTTCGAATTCCAGTCGAATCCATTACATTCACTTACGTGCTAATAATACCATTGGGAAAGGTATGAATCCTCTTCTTCTCCCCCAGCTATGGGTAAATAACAGGACAGACTGGGTCTATAGCCTTTGATGGCAACTGGTCTACCGCATAAAGAAATGGTAACCTACTGCGGGAAAAAATCTGCCTCGTCTTTCGATACATGATCACCTAAGTGTGTATCACGCATGGCATTTTTAAAATTAATGAGAGAAGTGGAAAATTCCCTAAATACGATAAATAAATTTCTCTATGGATGCATATACAGAGCAACCTCGATTCTCGAACGTCTCACATGTTAAACAATTCGGTTTTCGAACAAATAATTCGAGATGAAAATGCCTCGGTTATCAAACAAAATATATAGAGAACCGAAATTTGCATTTACATTTAATGGGGTTATTTTGCTGTATATAATTGTTATTATTGTTGTAATTGTTATTGGTTTTGCTGAGTATTTTTTATTGTGCGTAGTTATTATTTTCTCCCTGTTATCCATGCAGCTTTAACTAATTTTGATCGTGTTTTTGTTGATAATTTTTTATAATTAGCCGTTTTTAGGGAAGTGTTTGTAAATTATTTTGAAGTATATGTTCCCTATTTTTGTTTTATTGTATTGTTGTAGGGGGTAATAGACCAAATTATATTTCTTTTTCTGTTGTTTTTCTTTGAATTGTTTTCGCTTTTGTATTCTAGTTTGTTTGAATATTCGCTGTTTTTTAGAGTTGATTCATGTTTTTTTAGTTTAATTTTTAAGTTACTAGAATTTTAAGCTACTGAAATTCTTTTATTTATAGATATGGATGTTTGTTTGAATACTTTAGCCGATGGTTAGAATTTTTGTTAATGTATATCGGGTTGTTGTTTGGTTTTCGGTATGGTTTGTTGGTTCCGTTATTTAGGTTGAATATCCAAGACAGTTACTATTTTTTGATTGAATTTTATATCTTTTGTAAATTCTAAGGTTTGAATTGTTTCTTTTCTTATCTTTTCTGTAGTTCTACCGTCGCAATATCTTAGAATTAATAGACCGTCGTCCCTGTATAGACCTATATCTTTTTTGTTAATAATATTTGTTAATCTATTATGTATATGCTTATGAGTTCGCAAAATTTAAAAAAAAAAAGTAAAATGGCGACAATTTACCCATCGCACACACACACACTCTCTCTCTCTCTCTCTCTATATATATATATATATATATATATATGTATGTATGTATGTATATATATATATATATATATATATATGTATGTATGTATGTATGTATATATAAATTAAAAGTAAGAGCAGTAAGATATATAATCCGGTGTTCTTATAGATATTTTTATTTTTTTACAAAATAGTGCTCAATGTAAATTTACAGAACATTAATATTATAAATTAACTGATTTAAAATATGTTTTTTTTTTTTTCTGTTTCATTTTTAGGTCCATTTGATTTGGAATAAATTATGACCATGGAATATTGAAGAAAGCTTCGAATTTAATTTATATATATATTAAAAGTAGAAACATTAGTTTCATTTTGTAATTCCTCAATGTCGAATTTTGGAGTAACTTACCAAAATTCGCTTGAAGATGAAATGGAACTAATGTCTTTAATTTAATTACAAAAATTAAATTCGAAGCTTTTAGGTTACAAAATTATTTTTTGAAACTTTTCAGTTAGAAATTGACAACACTCAGACAGCGGTTTCATCTCCTCCCCTCATACTTATACTTTCTCTAAATTCTGTTTTGATTTCCAGAGTTGTTTTTTCTGTTTTCATTTGAATTTGTACTGGATGGTCTGATGATTTGATGGCCTGTACTTTTACGATTCCAATGGAATAAATTATGACCATGGAATATTAGTGTTTAAGACCATCTTTTTTATTATATATATATATATATATAGTAGAAAACGATTAAGTATTTAATTGAAATGTAATTCTAATAAAATTTAATGTCATTTGTATCAAAATACAGATCCTGAAAGAAATCAAAAAGTGGAAACACCAGAATTTCACCAGTTTGAAATGCCATATTTGGCGTACTTGAAACAGTGCCATTTCTGACCTTAGGTCTCTGGTTAGGACCCGGAAGGGAATGTGTATACAACAGAAATAAAAGGAAATATTAATATTACGACAACTACTACTATTACTACTAATAATAATAATCAAGTTTAGAACTAACCCGAAATGCAGAATCTGCGGAAAATATGATGAGACTGTCGACCATATTATCTCAAGATGTCCAGAAGTAGCAAAAAATGAATATACTCACAGACATAACAAGTTAATAACATACGTACAGTGGAAGATATGCAAGAAGCACAAAATCGAAACCACTGAGAGATGGTATGAGTAGCAACCAAACACAGTTACCCAAAATGAGGATGTAACTATCTTTTGGGACATGCCAATTCAAACTGACAAGGAAATAAAAGCCAACAGACCTTATATTATCATAAGAGACAAGAAATTCAGGAAGTGTATGCTTATTGACATAGCAGTACCATCTGAGAGAAACACCTCTATGAAAATTATCGAGAAATTGTCTAAATACAAGGACCTGGAGATCGAGATTAACAGGATGTGGGGAATGAAGACTGAGTCTGTACCAATATTAATCGGAGCCTCGTGAGAAAAGGAATAGACAATTTTACTGACAGTGTCCCAGGTAACATCAACATAAAAGTTGCCCGGAAGATCACCCTACTAGGAACATCTCATATACTAAGAAAAGTGCTATCAATTAAATGACAATTCTCCTATAAGGTCTAAGAGCCATAGTTTGGACCCGGCTCTACAGGATACAAAGCAGGAAATATAACATACAAATAATAATAATAATAATAATGAAGCTATGGAAAATGACTCAAATAATCCCTGTAGCAATGGGCTGCGCTTGGAATCCCTCCGAGAAACTTGAAAGAGCGTTCAGGGAAAATTGAAATTGAAACCAAACTTGTAGACCTCCAGAAACTACCATCATTTATTCTGCAAGTATTCTTCGAAAACCCTTGACTTATGAGTTCTGTTGACAGCAAACTTCAAAGACAGAATTTCCATTGATCAAATTAATGTGCGACTCTAATATAAATAAATAAAATTAACTCGTCGTACTTCTGGAAATTTCACGGTTTTCCCATTTTAATTTTCTGATGAATCATAATATTTAATGAATAAATTAACTCATTGAGAATTCCATGGCTATAGAGTACCCGTGGAAAATTCCCTTATTGGCTCATTAAATACTTGAGCTTGACAACTTTAACAAAATATTGCAATAATAATCATAAATATGAATGCAGGTCATTATTTAAAGAAGTAAGAGGGTACAAATGAAAATATTAACAATTGACAAGTTTTTCAATTTCACTGAAGCAGACGTCAAACACATAAGAGTGTTATCGCCTTCTCTTCTCTTCTTTCTTTCTTTCTTTCTTTCTTTCTTTCTTTCTTTCTCAGCTCGTTCTTTTTTTCTCTCACTGAACCAAAAGAGCATCTCTGATATATCTTTTCCGTCTTTCCTCGTGATTAAAACGGAATAGTTCATTATTTATGAGATATTGGCAGGACATAACGTACGTTCGAATTAATTCCGTCCTGGGGATGACGATAAACTACATCCGGCAGCAAGGCCTCTGATCAGGAGGATTTGAGGAGTGTAGAATCACTTTTTAATTGCTGTTTTTTCTCAGGTCCATCATGACCCAGGGTGGTAGTATCTGTTAGGATCCCAGCTATGGGATCCTAACAGATACTATAATGAACCTCCAAAACTAAAAGTATAAAAATACATTTTCAGAATAAAAAATACCAACAATAAATATTTTTAAAATAAATTACCAGTAACAGATTTTTATAAAAGAAAAATAAATTACCTGCAATAGATTTTTGTAAAAAGGAAAAAATTACTCAAGCTTCCCCCAAATTGAATTTCGGCATTAAATGTCCCTGGGCCTCGTGAGAAAAGGAATGGACAATTTTACGAACAGTGTCCCAGGTAACATCAACATAGATGTTGCCCAGAAGATCTACTAGGAACATCTAAGAAGATTAAATGACAATTCTCATACAGGGCCTAAGAACCATAGTTTGGACCCGGCTCTATAGGATACAAAGCAGGAAACATAACATACACAAATAATAATAATAATAATAATAATAATAATAATAGCATCTGTTAGGGACTCAGCTAATGAACCTCCAAAATTAAAAGTATAAAAATACATTTTCAGAATAAAAAAAATGTTAACATATATAGATGGGGGGTAATAGATTTGTATTCATACCTTCCCAGCGCGTAAGTGAATATAACTAACCCGACTGAAATTGGAACCCGGCTCTCTGATTAACTATTATTTCTTACACCACCCTCACATCCAAGCTTATAAGTGTTTTTTATGGCTTAACAAAACTTGAATAAATGTGAATATAACCAACCCAACAGAAATTGGAACTAGGCTCTCCGATTAACAGTTCCAAGCCATTACACCACCCACACATCTAAGCTTAGAGCAGCTGTTATTCCCAAGTGGTTACCCATTTAAGTACTGACCAGGCTCCGTGTTGCTTAACTTCGGTGATTGTGCGGGAACCAATGTTTCAATCTGATTGTGGCCGTAAGACCTTTAAGCATGGAAAGTTCTTTGTTTACCCAAACGATATTTGGCTTCCTACATTATTTCATTTTGATTTTTAGTAAAGACCAGAAAATATTAAAAAAAATGTCACAAATATTAAACAATTCAATGGAATAGGTTATTAGGTGAGTAACCCCCCTCCCCCGCCATCACATATATAATGCTTTCAATGTATATACAAAATAATAATTGTTATAATAAAATTACCAAAAAAAAAAGAAAAAAAAACATACAGCTACATAATTTCTGTCTGCATTCCTGGGATGAGGAGTTATCATTATTTACATTATTTATATTCAGACTATTGTCTTCATCTTTGTTGTTGCTATCTCACCGTTTTGGCCAAATTTGCTTAGTGGAAGTTAAACGAAATGTAGAAAAAAATACAGGTTTTTCGTGAGTATTGCAGGTTTTTGCTTTGGGCATCATATAAAACAAACTTGAAATATTTACGGCGATGTTTTGTGCAAATTTCGAAAATAAAACCTCTTCGGCAACGAATAAGTCGGACTTTTTTTCCCCTCCGGATGATCGCATTAAATTTCTTAAATAAATATAATCAGATTTTCCTTCCTTGATGGATAGCCAAATTCGCCTACCCGAAAATGTGGCGTCTTTTCTCCCGTCTCTTTAACAAACACAAGTGACAGATATATTTAACGACGGTAGAAAATGCCTTCCGTGACCGACCTCGCTTGACCAAAATAAACAAACGGAAGGGGGTTGTTGTTCGGATATGCGGCTAGTGATTCGAACAAAATTGAGTTCAGGGGCCAAAGTACTCGAACGATAAAAGATTGCCCGTCGTCTGAGCGATGACCTCCTGCCGATTTCGGGTTTTAGATTAAATGAACCTAATCTGCACCTTATTTTTATTTTTTACCATGAATATAAATTTGTTAAGAAAACTATCTTAATACAGACATCTTGAATTACTAAACCAAATAAAAGAATGGACGAAATGACCCTTTAATTGAAATATTATTTTTAGTTTAAATGCCATGTCACTTCAGGGCGTAAGTTAGTGGCTCCCAAACGGTACGACGCGCCTCATAGGTGTGGCAGAAGAGAATAGCTGGTGAGGCGGAATGATTGAAAGACACTCAAGGATTTAGAAACAGTTTCAAAAAATTCACATGACAAAAATAAATATGATTTCAAAATTTAAAATATTATTATGGATTACTTGTAATTGCAAGCATAAGTCCCAATATAAATAGTTATAAATAATTATTGACCAATTTTATCATTGTGATATTTTTGCATTATATCAAGTTTTAAGAATATAGTAACTAGGGTATGCAAATTGGAGGAGAGAGTTATCAATGATAACATTGACAGAGCCGAATCGTCCTCATTCCCTTCGTTTTACATTCATAAGAAAGAAGTTTATTTTCCTAGAACCGCTACTTTGCAGGACAGACTCCCAAGAGGATGATTCCCCGATCCTTACAGTCTTAACCTATTCAAGTTTACGGTTATCTATCCTACATATCCTCATAAGTTGTACTTACTTCCACTTTTTACTTCTATATAACAACCTCACTCAATAACCCTCTAACTTGAGTAGCTCTTGGGCCTCGTGACTATTTACTTAAAATTATATGTAAAATGGCGTGAAAATAGTGTTGTTTTTTTTTCACGTTGCTTTTTGCACGGTTTTGAATTCAAAATAATGGTTCTCCTGAATTGTCTGCCACCCAGAGCTAGAGATCCCAGTCTACTCTGCTGTTTAGCCCAGCCTACTTGTATGAAGAGTCAGAAGAGATGGGCTCATGCCTTTCCCAAGGTATGTGAAAGAAAGTTAATGTAACAGACTTTTTGATTTTGAACTCGGCTCACCGATTATGTTTTCTGCAGCGATAACGCTACGCTACCCGAACAGCTCAATTTTAATTGTAACTGTGATAGTAGCGCTAACAATCTCTAACGCCTTGGTTTGAAAATAGACCGAATTTTAATAGTCTGTTTATTAATGTTTGGATTGTAAAGCACAGAAAACTTACCTCATTAAAAATCAGTATGTGAAGTTAGAACTTGTAAAGTCGAACCCTTCCCACCGGAAGAGTGACGTAGCATTATCTTACCTTCCTCGTTTCGATTAGCATCAAAATAAGCTAAAATTGGTACAGAACAACCTTGTTTTATTGTTCTTCATTTTATTTTGTTTCTTTTTATTGCTCTTCATTTTATTTCGTTTTGTTTTATTGCTCTCTATCTTATTTTGTTCCGTTTTATTGCTCTCTATTTTGTTTTGTTGCGTTTTTTGCCATTCATTTTTATTTTATTTCGTTGCGTTTCGCACTTTATTTTATTTATTTCGTTTTATTGCTCTTTTTCACAATTTATTTTTGTATATCGATATTCCATTCTCCGCTCAGAAATTGTTGAATTAGAAATAAACATTCCTTCTCAGACAACATGGATAAATGACATACTGAATAGGTAAAAAAAATGGTTTGCTTGATTCAGGCGTCAAAAAAAAAACAAAAAAACAAGTGTCGTTACAAATAATTTTTCGTTCATTCTTTTCATATCCTTGCATTTTAATCCCGAATGTTTTTTTTTGTTTTTTTTTTCGTGATTTTTATGTAAACTGTATATCATCCAGTACTCGTTTCGAAGATGTTATTCGTGAAATTATCTAAGGTGATGCTTTCTCCGATTCGACACGATGTTCTCGTGTTACTGTTAAAATCAGAAACACTTCCAATAAAAAAAAGCCTTTCTTTTTTTACAGACTGCCATGTTTTCAAACACGCTAAATTAATGAACATAAACATCTTTTTCGTTTATCTTGCTCATTTCCTGGGCATGTTCATGGTCGAAACACCAGCTGAGTGTTTTCTTATAAAGTATGGATACAAGTTTGAATTAAAACTAATACTGTTTGGAAAAGAAATCCTAATCAATAAGGTTAAAAAACAAGTATAATCACCCTGTAGTAATAAAACCCTCAATACAAATGTGGTATGAAGATCAACAGACAGTAAATATACTGAACCAATATGGAAATTCGAGAAAAAATATCAGAATGAGGAAGTGTGCTTCCTTTAAAACGGATAATCGAGCCTTGCTGAGCTGTTTCGCTTCTCTGTAGCCGAGCGCTAGAGCACACCGGATCAAAAGGTGGTTTCTCTCACAAAGGGAAACGCAAACATGTGTAGGGAGAGAACGTGTTCTTTAAGATTTCTCCAATGCGCAGACCGATAGACGTTATGCACATTGTTTAAAGTAAAAATGAAAACGGCGTGTCTATTTCAAATACGAGTATCCACTATAATAACCTTCTATATATATATATATATATATATATATATATATATATATAATCACTTTAAATGTTATTTTTACTGAATATTCATTATTTAAGTAAATGCTCTGTTTTTAATTAAACAGTATTAATTACATTTACCGAAAAATTTCATAGAAAATATGCATTCTCCGAGAGAAATCGAACCTGTATTTCTATACGGAAACCCTCATTTGATTCTGACATGCTATACTATTTAGCTACAGAGAAGCGTCTGGTTAGCAAAGTTCAAATTGATATTTATAAACACACAATCTTTGACTATTTTTGTCTATAGTTCATATCTGCTCAAAAAACATATCTTAACGTAAACAATGACAACATATAATGGAATGGATTAAGTACGACTTCTATTTAATATATTTTCTGTTTAGATGTTATTTTTATAGATACAATTTATTTAAATAAGCGCTCCGTATTTAACGCCCGAATGAACACATGCACTACGAAAAATAAAAAAAAAAACTTTCATCAAGGAAATGTGCATATAAAAAAGAAAAATCGAGAAGTATAAAAAGTCAATTGTTGATAACCCCTGACGAGTGAACGGATTTGTTCCAGGAGGGTCCGTCTACAAAACTCTGGGGTCGGGAGGCTGAAGGTAACATCAATCAGTTTAGTGATAAACCTTTTACTTGTATTATATAGATAGATACAAGGTAACCAAAAAAGTGTTGTCTGTTTTTTTGATTAGTCATTGAATGAAGTTGAAATATATACGAAATACGTGTAGCAATTGTTTTCAAATTCGAACAGCCGGAAGTAGGAACATCAAACGTTATAAAAAACACGCGCACCGTGCCCAGCCATCAGTTATAAGCCGGGCAGCTGTGAGAAGGATGGAAGTGTCTAGAGATCTCGTTCGGGGCTGTTTGCTTTACGACTTCAAAGTGGGTTTATCAGCAGCTGCATCAAGTCGCCGTATATGTCAAGCGTTTGGGGATAGTGCTGTAGATGAACGTACTGCAAGGCGTTGGTTTCGAAAATTCAAGTCGGGAGATTTGTCTCTCCATGATGAGCCTCGCAGTGGACGACCACAGGTCTTGAATGACAGAGTCCTGAAGGCGGCCATTAAAGAGGACAGTAGTCTAACGTTTGTTGAACTTGCAAGACTGTTCAACGTTTCCGATGAAACAGACTTCACCTGCACCGCCTAGGTAAGACGTACAAACTGAGCAAGTGGGTTCCGCAAACGCTGTTAGAGGTCCACAAGGGACAACGTATGGCAGCCTGTGTATCACTGCTTTCTCGCCATCGTACCGCATCCTTATTCAATCGAGTGCTTACCAGTGATGAAAAGTGGGTTCTGTACGAAACTCCCAAGCGTTTCAGGATGCTGTCCCTCACACCACAAGACGACCTATGCACCCACGCAAGATTATGCTTTGCGTCTGGTGGACAGGTCGTCAAGTGGTTCATTATGAACTGCTACCAACGGGCCAAACGGTCATTGGAGACCTATACTTGCAGCATTGCGTCAGAAGGAGCCAGCACTGGTGAATCGCAAAGGTGTGCTTTTCCTCCATGACAACGCCAGGCCGTATGTCACGCGAGTGGTCAGGGATACCATACAGCAACTTGGGTGGGAGACTTTGTGCCATCCACCTTATTCACCTGACCTTGCGCCATCCGATTACCACCTTTTCCACTCCCTGGATAATCATCTTCGTGGGAAATCCTTCACCAATGAAGCAGACTTGCGCAAAGACCTCACGGACTTCTTTGCGTCAACCCCCCCCCCCCCCCGAGTTCTACCTCAAGGGCATTGAACAGCTGGAGACACGTTGGCAGAAGGTGCTGGATGCCGATGGCAATTACTTCGAAGACTAAATATAAGTTACACATAGTGTGAAGCGTTTTCTTTTTTTCCTTTAAAAACGGACAGAACTTTTTGGGTTACCTTGTAGATAGATAGATAGATAGATAGATAGATAGATAGATAGATAGATAGATAGATAGATAGATAGATAGATAGATTAGTAATTAGGGGATTTGTATAATTTTCATAATGATTCATCATGTCTTGAACAGGAATCTTCAACGCCTACACATGCAGAAAAGCACTGGGCGGCCGTTTCGTCCTTTTTGGAACTCATCATTTGTGTGCATCCTTCCCATCCTGAGAATCGAACCCAGACCAGGCATTATCATTGAAAGACGCTCGTCTTTCAATGATAATGTTATTAAGCTTATTAGACGATATGAAAGGAATTTGATTAAAATAGACGAAACTTGTTTATATTATTTAATGAAACATACATTAATGAAAAAATGCTGCCTAAATACACACACACAATATATATATATATATATATATATATATATATATATATATATATATATATAAACTATATATGTATTCTTTAATATAGATATTAAACTATATATATATAGAGAGATAGATACAGAGATATTAAACTATATACATATATTCTTTAATATAGATATTAAACTATTGTGTGGGTTTGTAAACAGTGACTATTACGGCTAATAATGCAAGACACTTCGGTAAATCGAATCGAGTTCTCTCACTCACTGTGTGTTTATCTAAAAATAAATACGCTTAAATTCACCTTCATCCCTGCCATGCGCCAATGGCTTAGTGGTAGAATCCCCGACTGATGTCATTTCAGTCGGATTTCGATCCCAGCTAGATGATGAGCTGCAAAACAGTCTGTCTGTGGATGACAATATAGATAGATATTACGATATATATATAACAGAGTAAGATAATGTTTTTGAGGCAACCAGTCTTTGTAATTAAATGCTCGGTATAAAGAAATTAATAATAAAATATTTTCAATCATCTTGTCTCTATTTTGAGTTTCGAAGAATCACATCCACTCTTCAAAAAACTATAAAATTAAGTAATTTTACAATCAAGTCTCATAAAGAGTAGATTGTAATTTTGTAAAAACAAGATAAGTGAACATGATTAATTGTATTTATTACCATTATATTATTAATATTTTGTACGTTCTTTGCTGACGTTGTCTTAAATTTATTTAGTAGTAAATACTTATTTATTAAGCTTAGCTCGTTTTGACATAAAGTCTCAAGTATGGGACACACAGTGAGGATCAATGTCACTATTTAATAGTAATGATCAGCGAACCAAGTTCGTTAACAATTGCCTCATGATGAGGCGTCTAACTTCGTTAAACGCTGTTTAAACTAGCCTTAATTTAGACTGTTTTCTGCAGGCTTTTTTTTTTTTTGGTTCTTTTCAAAATGTGTTCAAATAGGCTATGCTAACCGCGCTGGTCAGAAGACGACAGAATTTATTTAAGGATTGACATTTCTGTCAAGGATCAGCGCAGTATCTGCGTTTCGCCTGGAATAAAAATTTCGCGTCTCGACGCTTCTACTGTGAGTCAGTGTAATGACGCACACACCCGTGCAAGTGCGCACTAGAGCCATCAACTGTACATGTGTTCATTTCTATACAACAGAATTGGGAAAGGCAAGAGAAGAGAAAGTGAAAGAAAGACTATGCAAATGAGATAGTGTAAGATAAATAAGAAAGCTAATGAACTCGAAAACAAAAAAAAAAACTGAAGAGACAGAGAGATAAACGATAAACATAGACAAACTTTCTGTCTTTATTTTTCTTACTCCTTTACACTATTGGACAATTTTATGCGGGTGAAGATTTATTTTTCTCGTGGAATGTAACGCACAACTTACGGCGATAGGTAAACTACATACAACGCTATTATTAATGTATAGATATTCTTTTAAATCCATTTTTTCTTGCTGGCCAAAGAACTTTTGGGAAACTAACAGTTCTCGTTGAAAATGAGAAAATTATGTCCGTATGGATCGACATTTCTTTCAAGGATTAGTGTAGCAGCTGTATGCTCTTCCTAGGATGAAAACATCGCCTTCCGACAATTCTTCCGGGGATCGTTGTAACTGTACACACGCACACTCACACACGCGCGCACGCGCACTATAGACATTAGCTATACTCATTTCTATACGACAACCGATCTGACCAAGGAAATAATATGTAAATAAGCTAAGATAGAAGGTAAATAAGAAAGTGAAATCGAAAGGAAGAGAGGAAGGAATACAGACGAGAGAAAAACATAGACATGCTGTCGTTATTTTTATTACTCCTTTGGTGGGTGAAGTTTTATTTATTTTTCTTTTGGAACGTGACACACACTGTACGGAGGAAGATAAGTAGGTATTACAGTATCAATATATTGCAAAACCACGATTTAATGAACTAATTGAAGGGGAGAGTCTGTTCCTTAAATCCGAAAACTTACGACCACATTACGTTGAAATACCGGTTTCCGTACGATCACCGAAGTTAAGCAACATTGAGGCTAGTCTGTACCTAGATGGGTGGCCGCTTGGGGATACCAGGTATTCTAAGTGCAGTATGTGCCAGTGGTGTAATGATAATAGCTCGGAATTGTTAATCGGAGAGCCGAGTTCTAATTCCACTCGGGTTCGTTATATTCACTTACACGTAAATACCTTTGGGAAAGGGATGAATCCATCTCTTCTCCCACTGGCTATGGGTTTATTAGTAAGACTTGTATCACTAAATCGTAATTATCTCAAAAAATAATCTTACACACTAAACATTTTTATGACTTTAAATAACTTGCAAAGGGTTGATAAGCCGTAAATAACGAATCAATCAATCAACTTAAATCCGACTTCCTTGATCATATTGAAAGGAGTTTTAGAAATCTTGCTGTAAATCTGTTTTGTAATTTCCTTTGTATTCATAATCGAAACATAGATAATTTCCAAAGCTTCATACGTCAATAATCCAATCAATTTTGACGAGTACTTTACTAACAGGCTTGTCAGCACTGACCTTTTTATATTAATATTCACTCAATAAAATGACCAAGTGTCACTCAAGGTAGAGGCTTACTGTGTGGTGTTGAATGAGCGCAAGAAAAGGGCAAGAAGTGAAGTTAATGGGGTTATGTAAGAAAGATAATGCTTAACCTTAAACTTGAAGAGGTCAAGTTTGTAGTGATTGGGAAAACATCCTGTTGGGAGTCTGTTCCACAAAGCAGTAGTTCTTAGGAAGAAACTATCCGAATGGAAATTACATCTTACCAATGGAATCTTAAGAGAATAAGGATGATTCGCCATTGGGGCAGGGGGGGGGCGTCCCAGTTGTAAAGGTCAGGGCTGGTAAAACTAATGAATGTAGCTGAACACATGCCATGGAAATAGCGATAGAGTAGCGAGAGGCTTGCGACGTTTTGACTGTAGGAAAGGGGTTGTAGTGTGGGAAAAAATCATCACCCCAAAATCCGCGCAGAGACGTTTGAACTCTATCAAGACAGGCAAATAAGGACTGGGCAGATCCAGTTCAAATAAGGCCGCAATAATCCATTTTTTGGTTTGATCTGTCTCTTGATAGAGTATAGTGTGTGGTGGGGAGTCAGATACTTACTGAAGAGGTACAATGAACCGACCATTTTCCCAGCAACTTTAACGACAGATCAGATACATGAGTTCTACTTGAGTTCCAGAGAGACGATCAAGGCATGACGTTTTCTTGAGATAAGATATGACAGTTGTAGATTAAGGGTCTACATAGTGGTGATGGAACATTACTAGTTTGTTTTGGACCATATTGAATTTTACAAGCCAACTCTTCCCCCATTGAGCTACCTGGCCTAGGTCAGAGGTCAGAAGAGAAAGGAGCTACTAGGTCCCGCTCTTTCAGATTTTTGGAGATGCACCTATAAACTGCTGTATCATCTAGGTTTTGAAAAACAGTTGAGGTTTTTGATACCTGTCTAGTTTTGAGTTTTTCGATACCTGTCCAGTTTATATTTTTAGAACTAACAAAATTTAATAAAATCAAAATTATCTAACGCGGTTTATCGTTTCTCACTTTTTAATTTCTTAAGTTAAATCTATAGCTTAACATGGACTCCACGAATTGTTTTTTTAATCATTTATTGAATTTCGTTCAGTAAAAATAAAAAGTCAGTTCATCATAGTCATGTGATCCACAAGCCTTAGATCAAGGGATGTTAAATCGAGTTTTTAGTGCGTAGATATATTTTTTGTCGACCAATGAACTTTTAGAAGGCTTGTATTTTTTAATACCTATTTTCTTTTTTTACTTTTGTGTGTGTGTGTTTAATCAGAAATAAATAGGATTAGGGTAAAATAACTTTCCATTTGGACGTGTGGTTTACATTGCATGATGAGATTGTAAGCTGTGGTCAACCTTTGGTTTCATGTATAAATACGCGACGACACTTGATCATGAAGTGGTAACATGGCTTGACGTTGAATTTGATTTATCGTCTGCTATAGAAGTTACGAGCAGCTAGAAGATATAAAAAGAAAAAGCGGTAAGTCTGAGGAGAAGTTTTTTTAAAAAAGGGTAAATGGGGTAAGAAATAGATGTGGGGAGATTCGAGGAAGGAAGAGAGAGAGAGAGAGAGAGAGGGAGAGAGAGAGAGAGAGGGAGAGAGAGAGAGAGAAGAATGACTAAAGAAAAAGAGAAACAGAATTGTAATAAAAACAAATAAACGAAATGGAAGAAAAAAGGGAGAAAAGAACGTGAGAGAAAAACTAAAAAAAAAGGTGCGAGAAAAAAGGCCTGAAAGATATTTATTAATTTAGCATAAGAAATATACTTTCTGTGTGACGTAATTACATCTTTATTGATAATGCAAGTATTCCCAGTTGTGTTTGGTCGTCTGCTCTTACCTTAGTTTAAGTCAAGAAACATTACATTATAAGAGAATGTCTTATGTGTGCAGGATTTAAAAAAAGATCACATCTTTTGAAGCGAGCATTCATCCTCTGACATTTTTATATCTCCGAGTTCATATAATGACTATTTTCTGCAATTGGATATTTACTTTTCCCCAGATTTATAGTTGCAAATAATGTTCTTTAAAACCTGAAGGTAATCTACATGCAAAACTTATTTTAAAAAAATAAACTAAAGAAAAAAATTGTCTTTAATTGTACAATCACTTACTTATATAATATAAGAAGTAAAAACGATACCATAAAGCTATCGTAAATTTTTACAGGTAGGGTAAAGCGGGGCACAAATTAAGACGGGGTAAAAAGTAACGCGCAAATATAGGGGTGAAATTATTATTTCACACCGTGATGGGTTCTTGTGTTATTTTATTTTAAGTGTTACTATCCTTTTCTCGCCTCATCGCTTGAATATCAACAAAAACCAATCAAGGAAAGTAGAATATCCAAAATCGACACATGTCACTAGAATTTCATTTATTTTGTATAAGACAGTTTTATTACTGTTTTCAAATTATCATTTTATGTTTGTTAAAGTTAAATAGAGTTGGATTTGAAGCATAAATCAGGTATCAGAGTGATTTCATCGTCCTAATTTTAGTTGTTACAGTTAACCCTACCATATTACATTGTATCCAACAGATTGTTACTTTTTTCCACACTGAGGTAAAAAGTAACATTTTATAATTTTCATTTTTTTCACGTTAAGTCCTTAAATTAAAATAACATCCAGAATAGCGCTTTGTCATAATTTTCTCTTCACTTTAATGTTCATGACAAGCTTAAATAACCGTGTCTTGTCTTATATGATCGATATGGTAATTTGAAAAACGGTGTTACTTTGTTCCCCCCCCCTTTACCCCATTAAATTGGTTGCGAGTGACATATGGGATTATCTCATTTGTATGTCATGACTTATTAAATACAGAGTTAACTCCCTTGTAACTATTTACAGCGACAATTCACATTTCAGTAAAGCGTAGTACCTGCAGCTACGAGCAATCAACTGCCATGGATTGCTACAGATAAACGCACAATACGTTTTATGTCGTCGATCACCCACAATTGTACCACGGGGACATTAACAAGATAGTGTCAGAATAAACCCGTCCACAAGTCGCACAAGAGAAGAAAAATTGAATGAAATAACTTTATCAGAAAATTAAAAAATGAAGCATTTAAATTAGAATTAGAAACAAAAAACAAAACAAAATGAGTGTGAAACCACCAAATATCCTCAACTTCAAAGGAAACTTGAACGAAAATGATAAAGTTTGGAAACAATAATATGATTTTTATTCACTTGCAGCTGGATTAACAAAAAAAATAAACGAATAAAGGTCGCCATTTTTCTACATGTGGCTGGACCACAATCCCTACAAATTTTCAGTTCAATCGAATTTGAAAACCCTGACGACAAGAACAAAATACAAAGTGTGAAAAATAAATTCCGGGAATACTGATGTCCAAGGAAAAAAATATAATGTACATCTGATATGTATTTTTCATTAGAATCCAATTGCCTTCTGGAAAATTTGACTCATTGCTGACTGATCTAAAACTGAAGAGTAAGACTAAAGACTGCGGATCTGACAATCTCCAGGATGTCTTAGAGACAGAATTCGATGTGGCATTTTAACAAAGACACTCCCGAATGACTACATCGTGACTCGGCACCCCCCCAAAAAAAACGTTTATTTAAAAATACAATCGACAAATGCCGAGTGTTAAGTCAGTGAGAACCAAGCTGAAAATACAAACGAAGAAACGTGTTCGTCTATATACTCAATTGTAGAAGACCGTGTGGGTTTGAGTGTTGTTGAATTAGGAACACGTACTGTTTATTCCTGCTAGAAGGTCCAACTACAAGAAAATGGCGGACTCAAGTTGAGTCCACCCGAAGATGTAAAGAAAACAAACAAGACCGATATATATATGTCAACAAATATTTGTATTAAACAACAAATTTACAAGTGACATAGACATCAACATTTGTGTTTGTGTGTGAACGTAAAGAGTTTGTTCTTTGGTGAATGTTCGTACATACGTGTATGTGTGTTTCATGGCGTTTGCCCACAAGTGGACGAAAACGCTGATTTCTACGAGAGATTACATTTTTAAATGTGTCCGCTGAAATGCAAAGTGAAAAAGAGAACGAGGCAAGAAGTCACTCAGTATTTATAATGTAGGGAGAGCGTCCCCTAGTGAACAATTAGGGAATTAAGGAGGAGCTAACTCCGACACAATAAAGGATAATTAGGCAGTCCAAGTGTTTTATGTTAGCCCAAATTTATATATCCTAAAAAAGAGGCAGATTATAAAAAATTATATCATAAAAGAGAAATGTAAAACAATAAAATTAAATGGTAAATGAAATATAATACAATAAACTAGGTCTGTTCATTGCACTTTCTTTTGAAAGGTAAAAGAACATTTATTAGAAGAAGAAAGTTACTAATACGGTCTCTTTAACTAGAAAATAGCTATATGAAGCCAGAAGGTTAGTAAAAATTGCATGAATAAAATTTGATGTGTAACACTTTATGTTTGGCGCAAGTCTGATGTAAAAAAACACCAAAATGAAGCCTAACGGTTCATAAAAAAGACGCATGTATAAAATTTGATTTTCAAAGATTTATTATAAAAAAAAGGCTTAAATATGATTGTCTCAAAACCCGCCAAAATAAAATTTGCAAATCGGCATGGCTCAAAGAGATACTTATTGTGATGTTTTAACTAATGGTTATAGAAAGTTACGCTCCTCAAACGGGTCGATTTTTTTATTAAATTTGGAGCCGATTGTAATGCTATACATTAGAATTTATTTGGTCTAAGAAACATAAGTTTTTGTGGCTTTCACAGGCGAAAGTCATTGGCTGTTTCTGAGATCTGAACAAAGAATAATTAGAATTCAACGATGAAAAAGAAGAAACAGGATAATAAAGAAAGGGAAGAGGCAGAAAGAGCATTCTATAAATGTAGATAGATATCCGATTATCTTTCTATAGTTGTTTGTGAAAGTTTGTCACAAAAATTAGAGGTATTAACACTGATTTTGAACTGTTTATTAAGATACAAGATGTACTTACTTTTTGAATCTCAGTTTGAAAAACTGAACTATTGTCTAAAAAGAAAACAAGCTAGAAACCAAGCGACGCCTGTGAAAAGTCTTCCTTCCCTACACTTTTCAACAGTCAAATGTATGGAAGTAAGTGAATATTTTGTTGATAATAATTGTTTTTTTTATAAGTCTGTGCGAACCTAATTATGAACGAACATATACATACAAACACAAAATCACATGTACAATGCCAAACGATCATTGGCTAATAAATCACTAATACTTTTTCTACAGGCAATTTACAAATCGCAGTAATGCGACAATTTTGGAATCGCTTTATTTTTTAAACAGTCAAATTGGTGCACTTTTGGGAGAAGTGGCTCACAGAAGCTTCCTTAAGTCTCCCCAAAGCTCGCTCGCTGATTGATTGATGCCAACCAATCAGATCGTTTGCGCGTGAAGAATATTTTTCCCGCGCAACGAATCGGAGCCTATAGTCGCTTATTTAAGCCAAAATTTTTCTCGTATCAATTAGTTAGACTTCAACTGCTAAACGAATCTACGACAGTTGGAACTCCAGTTCTAACCACACGCCAACCTTCTCACTCACACACACGCACACCCACATGCGGATGATAATTTGTACACCTTCACTAAAAACTTCTTTTGACACAACAATACTTTTCAACAGTAATAACGCAAGAACAATCATATCATGAAACACTCATGAACATTTAGCCAGTGAACTTTAAACCAAATAATTATCTCTCACTGAACTCTTAAATTGCAGTCAAAGAGAGGCAACTCTTGATTAATGCAACCTTTCTTACTTAAATGCATGTTTTCTTTCACATCGTTGTTTGATATTGTACATCTTGTTAATATACATATATTTTATGAGCAACAATGTCTTGTTATTCTTCTTGCGTGAGTCCTGTTTTCTTATCAAAGTTAAATTAATGTGGTGAAGTACGCCACAAGTCTAACGAGTTGTATTTAGTATCGTTATCTTGCCCTAGTGTTTTGCTCACAAAGAAAAGATTGTGCAAGTTTGTTTTGTAAATTTTGCATTCTGTATTATTATTATTATTTTATGTCATTTAATAAATTCAAATTTCTTTCAAATTCCACACCAGATTAAGAGTCTTGTGTTTTTTCGTTCCCGTCATTCAAAATACCCGTGATAAGAAATTTGACGTCTGGTCTACCTTTTCTCCCAACAAATTCGTCTAAGATAACTTATATTTGCATTTACTTATACTCAATAAAGGATAATAGCGCAGTACAATTGTCTTATGTTAACGCAGCTTTATGTTCCTTTCTAAAAAAAAAAAGAAGAAAAAAACAAAAACACTAGCAAATAATGATAAATACTGAATATCTACCAGGGGAACTTTTTCGTAACGCCCGCTAGGCGGCGTTGTATAAAGCAGTATAAAAGAAAATCCTTAAACTTTATTTCTCTCTTCGCACTTCAGCCACAGGATGCCGCAATGGCATGACATGTCTTGCTTCACCCTTCAGGAAGATTTTTTAGTCCCCGAGCGAATCGGCTTTTAGTCCGACCAAACCATGTGGCGCATCGCATAAAACAGACCACAATATCTCCACAACAACCTATCATATGAATTATATATATCTTCATTCAACACAAGAAAATATCCCAGTTTAAGAAACTATACAACGCTGCTACAAGCTGAACTCACATAATAAACATATCACCCT